TTGTTATGACTGAGACTATGGCTGTGCCCATGACTGCTATGTCCGAAACCCCCGTGGTCATGTGGTATGTCCGCCTGGTAAAGAACCACTCCGAGCACTATGTTAACAGCCAGCCCACAACCGGCTGTTACCAGCATGACATCTGCGTCTATTTCGTAGTCTCTGTTGATCACTCTCAAAACGGCCATGTAAACAAGCACGCCTGTGAGGACTTGAATCAACAACATACTCATCACCGCACACAGCACTTCTGCGCGGTAGTATCCAAAAGACATGTTTTTAGTGGCAGGTCGGCTGGCGAACCAGATGGCAAATAGACTGATGCAGAAGCCAGCGAAGTCAGACAGCAGATGGAAGGCGTCTGTCATGATGGCCAGACTGTTTGCCAAGAAACCCCCCACAAGCTCGCACACCATAAACACCAGCACCAGAGAACTAGCGAGCATCAGCTTGTTCCTCACTGCATTCGACTTGGTCTTACTCACATTCAGGTCCGTGTGGCAATGGTCCCCCTCTTTGGTCATCGGGGGCGGGTGAGGGTGGGGGTGGTCCAACTTGCTTTTACTGGCCCTGTCGCTTCGCTGTTCATCGCTCGATCTCGCAATCAAAAGTTCAGTTTCACCGCTGCTTCCGGACATACTCACATGGGATAAACTCTTCGGTTTTTTGACGACTTTTAAGTGTGACTAAATGTCTTTTCTTGGCAATAGAATTTTAAGTGTGACTACTTTTAAGTGTGATTAAATGTCTTTTCTGTTCAATAGACTTTTAAGTGTGCGATTAAATATCTCTTGTCGTTTTCATCTGATGATTTGTTGTAACGAGTACGGAAAATGAATCTTTTCTAATGTATTATGTGAACTTATTCTTTCAGCTTTTTCACTTTTTATACCAGAGGGAGTAAGCTGCGATAGTTTTTACGCAGATGAGTTAAACGATGTAAGCTTGACAGCAGAGTGCCATGGCTTTTACGCAAATTAATTCAAAGTTATACATTGACAAGCATAATCAGTTCGTGCTCGGCAATTGAGTTTGAACTGAAAAAAACTCATTTATTTTAAATGAAATTTGGAACCGTTGACAACTAAAAACCCAAAACTAATTCAATTACCCAGAACCAAGTTAAAAACCCAGAGCCTAGTTATAGACCCAGAATCAATATGAACGCTAAAACTAAATTTAAAACCCCAAAAAAGTTCAAAAATCAAAGCCGGCTTGAACTTGTGCTCTTCAGACAGCGTGGTAAATGTCAACTCTTACTTTATAAAAGTAATAGACACAAGTAGTATCTCCATTGAAATTGATAGTTGAGAAGAAAATTACATTAATTCGCCGCTTTAAAACATCAACAATTGAGACAACAACAGGGAACCTTATCGTTAATTTTAAAAAGGGTTTTTAAATATGTTTATTATTTATTCATTCTTTACTGCATTTCGGTCAAGTAACCAATCAGATATTTTCATAAGGCAATTTAATATTGATTTTAATCTTTGGTACGACGTTAAAATCTGGGCTCCATTCGACCGTGTCGGTCGAATCATGAGTCGAACACCTCAGCCCGGGACGTCAACTCGTAACAAAAGACAAACTTTCATATGCTTCTATCAGTTAGCTTTGAAAAACTAACATCAAAGCCAATTTTTTCTAATACACCAAAAAATGAGACCCGCTAAAGATAGGGACATTTTTAAGGCTATTCATCTTGCAAGAGAATGAGATTCACAGTCCAAAAATTAAACATGCTGCACTTTAAAAACTCACAAAATTTGTTGAGTCACTTGACAAAAGAATTGCTCGTTTTGAAAAATAAATTTGATCCAACAAAGGAAGAAACGTTCTACATTTTATTTAGTTTTTTGAGCCAGTTGGCCCGACACAGACACATTAACTGGGTTTTTTGGTTTGTCGTATCCCGGTTCTGCACATTTAAATTTGGCATAGTTACAAACTAACAGATGCAAGGATGTAAATATTTACAGAAACCAAAATCATTCTATTTTTGAAATTAAAAACTTTCAATACAAAATGCATTTTCAAACGAAATTTCTTTTGTTGAGTAACTTCTTTTGTTTATATTTTTCAATAACCGGATCTACAAAATCGAAACCAAATATAGTTTTCATGCTTGCGGATGACTACGGTTGGAACGACGTCGGGTTCCATGGAAGCACCCAAGTCAAGACCCCCACTTTGGACAATATGGCTAAAGAGGGGGTCATCCTCAACAACTATTACCTGCAGGCATCTTTTCCACTTCCGCGAATTTCATAAAATTGTTTTTTTAATTATTTTGATTTTCTTATTTGGGCGCAAAATTTGTTTAATAACTCAATATATGTGTAATTATGTAAATCATGGCAACAGAATATGTTCAGAGTTATTAACATGTTAACAGTGCCAAACATTGTTTCATTGGAATAAAAAAAAATAAAGTTAAAGTTGAAAAGGTCAAACCTTCAGCAACTCTGCTCGCCCAGCCGCGCGGCTTTGTTGACAGGACGATACCCCATCCGCACCGGAATGCAGTACTTCCTGATTGAGGCCGGACAACGCCTGGGCGTGCCCCTGAACTTTAAGTTCATGCCAGAGTATTTGAATGAGTTGGGATATGAGAGCCACATGGTTGGAAAGTGGCATCTTGGAATGTTCAATAAAAAGTAGGCTGCATTTTGCGGGACACAAAATTCTTGCTCATTTAAAGTAATCGATTTGGTTGTCAATCAAAAAGTTCGACTAACAAGCTCAAAATTGAGTCTCAATGAACCATTTTAGTCGAGTCATAATTTGATTACATCAGTCGGCGATGGCGGTTTTGATACACAATGAAGTGATCAGTGCTCCAAGTTGACAATATTGAGATTGTTACTTGCAGCTCATTCAAGATCCTAGTTCGTTACCGGAGGGCAAGGCATCAATTTTAGGCCAAAAATGATGCAAAACAAAGTACTTAATACCCTTTGGTATTATTTTGCGACCTCCGTTTTTAATTGATCACCCTTTTTATAGTAACTGTGAGGGGAAGCGCGAATTTTTTGGTCAAAGGCGTCTTTTTTGGACTGTTTTTTTTAAAACTTGACAGCGGGTTGCAAAAAAATTGGTCAAAATTGGGTTTTTTTTAGATTTGAGAGAGCCCAGAAAATCATTTTGAATTATCTTAATGAGAGGATCGACAAAATTTTCAAAAAATTTTGAAAATCCGCCCCTCCCCCTCGAACATAGATCATAGAACCATAGATCCACCCCTGGTCGTTCGACAGTTTTCTAAAAATCTCAAAATATAATAGCTCGTTTCTGCTCGTAATAGCTCGTTTTGAAGGGAGATCTTCTTGAAACGCATCGTTTTAGCAAAGCATTTTCATGAAAGGATCTGAAATTGTCACCTTTTTTCATCAGAACATTTTTAAAATTTTCAGAAGTTTTTTTCCTACAGTTTTGATAGACTACAATATTTATTAAACTGAAAAGGCCGAAACGCTTTTTTTTTCTATTGATTATTGGAATATTTACAAGAGGGTGTTTAATTAACAGAAAATGTGAAAGTATTTCAGCAACAGTCAAGGGGAAAAAGTTGACGCTATCTTCCGGCTAAATCTTTTTTAAAAAATTCATTCATCGCTTGTCAAAAATTCAGCCATGACTCACAAGTAGAACGCTAAAAATAGAACGCTAAAAACACTAAGAAAATATCTTAGTTCATCCCATCGGTTGAAAACTAAAAATCGAACTTCTTTATCGCGTGTCTATATCCCGGATTGCTTTGTCAGTAGTAATCAGTACTGTTTCAGAGTAAAACCAGTGATGTATTTGTTTCAGTACTGTTCCAGGAAAAACCCAGTGAAACAAGAAAAAGTACTGGAATAGTACTGTTACATTACTGTTGTTTTTACATCACTGTTTTTGTCCTGGAACAGCACTGCGTTTTTTAATCAAATTTTCGAATTGATTTCTAAGTTTTGTTATGTGCCGTTAGAATCGAAAAAAAAAGATAAAAAAGCCTTCCTAATTCACCCCCCCCCCCCCAGCTAAAATCAGCTGAAAACCGCCTAAAACACAGTTTTTTCTGCGAAATAAAATAGATATGACTAAACTTTGATAGTCAGAAGGCGTGAGCAACTAAATTTGCCTGGAAAGGGTGATTTTTGTTTAAAAAAAACGGTAAATATTTTTAACTCATTCTTTCATTGCTGTCTTTGCAATTTTTTAGCGCTGTTTTTGAGATTTTTCAGAACTTCTCTTGCTTTTTAGTGCTATTTTTGCTATTTTCAGTGCTGTTTCAGTGCAGATTTATCTCTGTAACAGTGCCGTTTTTTATTGCTGATTTATCTCTGATCAGAGATAAATTGACGCTGGCGCAGTACTGTAACAGTACTGTTTTCGACCATAATGTCTGCGCCGCAGGCAAACTTTAGAAAAGTTACGTTTTTTTCGGCGCGCGCTCTCCCCTTAAGTTAAGTATATATTGGCACCCAAGGCGCCTTTAGAAAAATTTTAGAGTCCTTCAGCCAAAATTGGATGTCTGAAATTAGTTCAAAGGTGGGACCCTTTGGGTCGGCAAGGGCTCGAATCCCTGAGGGAAGGAAAGGGTCCGGAAAGCGTTATAAGGAAAGCGTTATAACAGGAGTCAAATGTTTTCAATTTTAGTTACACTCCAACTTACAGAGGATTCAAGACGTTCTTAGGATACTACAATGGCTACACCGACTATTTCGACCACAGAACACGAGAGCGTAAGAGTTTATGCGTCAAATTTTTGAACTGCATCCTGCCCCTGATGAGGAAAAAATGAGAAAATGTTATCCTTTGTTACAGCTAAATCTAATAATTTACAATTAAAAGAATCAAACAGAGGGGGTTATTCTCAAAGTTACAACACTAAAAAGTGAGCGAGCACTTTCTTCGTCGGAGAGATTGAATGTATCAAGGTCAAATGACAAAGACCAGTTAATTCAAAATAAATGAATTCATAAAAATAATGAATTCACAACCTTCCTCTCAACAAGAAAATTTGTGGCGTACTAATTGCTATTAACAAAGTAACTGCTCCTTTTCTCCCGTCAGAAAAACTGAATTGGTAATTTTTTGTGAAAACTATTTGCACTATAATTTTTTGCACTATAAAATATTTGCACTATAAATTTAGCATTGTTGGTACGTTTAGGAGAGTTGAGTATAAATGTTTACACAGTGAAACTAATTATGATAATGAGCTGAAACTAGAGCTGACATGACAAGTAATTTTCTGATATGAAAATAGAAATAAACTTAGAAATGAAAATAGCAATAAAGAGCATAGATGTGGTTAATGATTCAAGTTAAGTTAAATGAGGAAAATCTTTTGAGTCATAGTTTTCAGTTTTGCGCCCTCCGAGATTAAATTTCTCAAGTTCTGTGTTGAACAATTGGCTATCCATATCTACTAAGTCATCAAAGTCATCGATCATCACTCTAAACGTTTGATTGCTTGAAAAAAAAAGAGAGAGAATGTATGTTGAAAATATGTAGAGGATGTCGTCAAAATTCGTGTCCTTTTCATCCGGAGGATTTGTGTTGCCAGAGATTGTTCATGTCTCGGTTGTCAGAGTGGACTTCAGCTCAACAGGGTTTCCTGCGGATCAAGATGCTTGAGGCCTTTGATCTAAAATATCTATATGCAGCCTTTTACACCAAAACTTTGATGGGCCTACGTTTCGACTCGATCTACGTAATATCGTTTCAATACCGTTAGAAATCATTGCCTATGGTTCGGTTGCGGTCTCGTCTGAATAGTCTACTGCGGTATCGTTAGATTCACTCGGGGGTAGAGCGTCCAATTGAATAGTCGATGGTTTGGAGCCCTCGGGTGCAATTTCTGACGGCACAATTTGGTTGGATCTCGGCGATGCAGTGATTATGCTAATAGGACAACCCGAAGTGGGAAATTCTTGGATGCTGTTGTGTTCTTCTAAATCCTCAGATTTTACGCCATCAAAACTGAAATTGGAATGAGTAAGGGGTTTTGTGGATTCTAGCACGTTAGCGTGTTCTGTAATACAACGTTCACTAGCCAACTCTATACATCAGAAAACTTCGGCTAACCATTCCCAGTCACTAAAGACTGAAGTATTCGAAGGAAGAAGCATCACAAGCTAAGAAGTTTGCGTTAAGAGTTGTCGTTTTGTGGAATTTCGACATTAATTCGAGGCCTTTCTGGTGTTCTTGTCTGAAGTAGCCAGCTCAATGTCATTTCGGGTTTTGGGGCCTGGTATTAGCTTTAACTCCTCGGTATTACCTAGTTTCATCTGGTTTGTCCGCTTTGCACTCACTTCAGTATTATTGCTAAAAAATGGGAATGAGATATTTCCTTTAGAAGATCGAATATGAGCCGAATTGAGTTTTGGTATAGCGATATCTATTTTCCTGATGGTTTTTCCGTCAAATAGTCAGGCCGTGGATTTACTTGAGCTAACAATTTTCGGATTCAGTTTTTTGTAGTGCTTTTTATGTTTTTTCCGATACATGTTACCTTCAAATGGGCTCTGAATTGAGATCCTTGACGGAGAGGGTTTTGAGGGTCACGGGTAATCTGATTCATAAACATTTTTCAGAGGGAATTGGTTTTTTTTGGAATCACGGTGTCGTTCAAGATTTGTGCGGCTACCTTATTGACTGGTTCATGTATGTTATGTGTTGGAAATTTGTTCTTGTATATTTTTTTGTTGACAAATTAATTAACGATTGGACTGATGCATCTTCGTTACAAGTTTTTGTATTTTTAAAGGGTCCTTGAAATTTTAATCTATTTTTTTCACAATTTACTGAGTTCAAAAAGAAGGGTACGTGTCTTCTTTTCAATTGGATTGGTTTGAATGGATCATGAAGAATGTAATTTCTATCTGGTTCTTAGTTTTTCCATTCCGAAGAAATAGTTGGTTAAAAGTCTTGAAAACTAATCCAACTTCTCTGTCTATTTTGCCGGCTGAAATAACAATAAAGAAGTTCTGGTCGTTTTGGTCTGAAAGTGAGAAAAATTTTTCCGAGAGACTACTTTTCTCTTTTTTGGCAAAAAAGATGTTCCTCTCATGTTCCTCTCGTGACCTATTAGAAAAAAGTGGCCTTCATCATGAAACCACCCGTTTTAAAAGATGGGGATCACTAGTTTGCCCCTAAGGTTGATGACGTTATCGGTGAAGCCGCAGAATATTTTTTGATTCGACATGGTATTTGTTCCATTACGAGGCCAAACTGTGCATTCTCTGCATTGTGAGCGGAATCCGCAACAGGCCAAAATTGGATTTGTCGAGGAATCCGCAACATTGCTACTTTTTTTTGATCTTCTATGCTGTTTTGGATTCCACAAATAAGTGCCTAAATCATTGTACCGCTCAGAAACGCTCGAAAAACAGGCCAATTTGCGGAATCCGCAACTGTATTTGCGGAATCCAGAACAGTTTGTGGAATCCACAAACAAATGATAAAAAGTGTGGAATCCACAAATTTTAAGTGGAATCCGCAAATTGTAAGTGGAATCTGCATTTTGTTTGCGGATTCCCTTTACATATAATTATATGTGTAGTAGCCTTTAAATTTATATCTTTTAAAAACATGATTTGATTTCACTAGATTAGAAATTTTTTAGAATAGAAATTTACTAATATAGATCTGTGTTTGGGATTAATGGAATCCCAATTACTGACCAGTATTTGGAATCAATGAAATCCCAAAAATTGAACTAATTCGACCATTTGCTATGCGTTGGGTTTCTAATCAATCTCAACCTAATGACTCCAAATAATGGATATATTCCATATTTATTCCACATTGTTTCAGTTTTTGGGATTCCATCAATCCCAAATACTGACGAGTATTTGAGATCGATGGAATCCCAAATACTGAACTAAGTTGACGATTTGCTATGCGTTGGGTTTCTAATCACTCTCAACCTAATGACTCCAAATAAGGGATATATTCCATATTTATTCCACATTATTCCTTTTTTTGGGATTTCATCAATCCCAAATACTGACGAGTATTTGAGATCGATGGAATCCCAAATACTGAACTAAGTTGACGATTTGCTATGCGTTGGGTTTCTAATCACTCTCAACCTAATGACTCCAAATAAGGGATATATTCCATATTTATTCCACATTATTCCTTTTTTTGGGATTTCATCAATCCCAAATACTGACCAGTATTTATGATCGATGGATTCCCAAATACTGACCTAATTTGTCGATATGCTGTGTGTTCCATACACTCAATTGACTCTAAATATTGAAATTATTCGGTGTTGTGTTTCCAAAATATTAAAGATGACATCCACCGATTTAGGTAACCAATATTTCAAGACTTGTTCGTGGATTCCGCTGACAATGGTTAAGTCTTTGCTTTTCAATTCCGCATTGCTAGAGATAAGAATTCCTGCTCTGCTTTTAATTGTTCATATGCAAGTTCAGTATTGATCAAAATTCGAAATCCACTTACAGTTTGCGGAATCCACTTACATTTGCGGATTCCGCTCACATTTTGTGGAATCCACTTACAGTTGCGGAATCCAGAACAACTAGCTATATTTGCTTGTTGAGGAACCCGCAACAAAACAAATGTGCCGATAAAAATTACGTTACAGGTATATGTATGCGGAATCCACTGAAATTTTGTTTGTGGAATTCACTTATATTTTGGAACATATTTTAAGACTTGTCTCTTAAATCCAGGAACATACAGACACAAAATTGTGCTCCTATCCAGTGCACAGTTTGGCCTCGTAATGTCGAGTAAAATTTCGTGGTTTCAACTCATGAAGAACTTTAGTCTTGAGAAGTTTACCGAGGTGGCTGAGTCCACTTGCCCATTCAATGTTACTTGACTTTCCCTTCGGAGGCTGATACTTAACTGTTTTTTAAGTTCCTTTCCGTCGTCGTCAAAAATTATAATTATATTTCCTATGGAGTAGTCGTTATTATCGCTCTGTCCGGATTTACTACAGAGTAGTCGTTATTATCGCTCTGTCCAAATTTGATCCCGCATTAATCACGCCACAAGATTCTGTTTTAAGACAGTCGCTAATTACATTCGATTGATCCGAAAATTAATTAAAAACGGTATCATCTACAGTTTGAGTATTAACTTCATTTTAGTTGTACGACTAAATTCAAAAAAACTGTTAAAATGACCCTTGTTTTTACAATATGCTGAGTTTTTACCGGTCGAACTTCTAAATGTCCTTTGGAGAAGTTACCGCTACATTTTATTCAATTGTTGTTCGTTCAATGTTAAGAGAGGGTTCCATTTTGACATTAATATGATTAGAAGGTTTATGCACAGGTTCCCTTGGTTTTAAAACTGTTTGTCATCTTCATGTTGTTGGTGATTCTTCTTTCTTCTGTGAGTGCGATATGTTAAAAATTTTCTCTGAATATAGGAATTTTTCATGTTGTTTATGAAGATGCCCTTATCCACTCATTTTCTTCGCCGAATAAGTCACACTTTTTCGCCATTTTGTCTAGGGCTTGTTCCAAAGACGCTCTATCTTGTTGGTTTTTATTCGAATCTGATCTTCGTTTTTTTACAGTGGCTAATTGTTCTCTAAACTTTTTCGATGAAACTTGACGGATTTTGTATCTTGTGAATTTCTATCCTAAAAATGTTTTTTCTTCGTTTCCAAGCGCGAGACGGGTTTTTGAAAACGGGGGTTTCGGGTTTTTTTCAAACCTTATTAAGTAGGTTTTGGATATGACAATTTTCTTTCGCAATCACCGCTAAGTGGAAAAGATCGTTCCCTTCATCCCACGGAATTTGTGGATCCACCGCATGGTTTTGCCAAACGGGAGGTATTCCTCTCACACTTGACTCGATACTGTTCGACTGATTGTTACAGCTAATTCTACTTATTTACCAATAAAAGAACAGAAGGTGAAGAGTGAAATAATCTCATAAAACATAAAAAAGCAGTGTCTCTGTCAGAGAAATTGAACGTATAAAGGTCAAATGACAACGACCAGTTGAAGAGATAAAAGGTAAATGAATTCTATAAATAATAAAATCACAACAGCCGCATCAAAAGACGATGTTCTGGTCGAAATAATCTCAAAGTTTAAAAAGGCAAAAAAGTCACATATTCAAGCATGGCTCGTATTCGAGTTGAGTTTTGGAATGCAATTGAAACGCGAACGTTAAAAGTGCGGCTAATGGGTATTTTATTTTAAGTTTACTAATTAAAAATATGTTTTTACGATGCAAATAAAGTAAAGCGACCATGGCTTCTTCATTCCCGGGTCAAGGTGCTCACTTTATGTTTCGACCTCTCGATCGAAATCGGTATGTTTCCACCGTACTCGACCAGGATCAGGTATTTTTGACGTTCAAACAACATTAATTATCCAAATTTAAGCGTTGTATTTTATGTTTATTGGGTAACATCTTATGATGCTTTACTCAGAATGAAATTGTTAAAATTATTCGCATTTTGAATGTTTTGTAGGGATGAATTATTTTTGAGCTGTTTTTTTTCCATCGGATTAATGAGTGTTTTTCGACCGTGCTCGAGGTATGTTTCGAACTTGTGCTCGACCCAAAAATCCGTCTCGACTGATCTTATGTGCTCGGCTTTGAGACTCGAAGCATAAAATGAGCACCTCGACCTGGGCTATAATCGAACACGATTGCTTCGCAGTTTCATTTGTTTCGTCAATGCTTAAAACTTTTAGCCCCTGAAGGAATGGATCCAAACGAGTGGTGGGGTTTGGACTGGAACTTCAACGAGGGCGAAAACCTGACGAGTATCAACAGTGACTTTGGAAAGTACGGCACCCACGTGATGCAGAATAGAGCAAATGACGTCATCAAAGGACATGACTTCAATTCGAAGCCTCTCTTTCTCTATCTGCCATTCCAAAATGTGCATAGTGGCAATGATGTTGACCCCATCCAAGTACCCATTGAAGTTGAGATGCAGCATCCGGTGAGAAAACCCCCCTCTAGCTTACCTCATTTTAATTCTGCTTTGTTTTTTTTTACTCCAATAAGCTTCCAACCATGCAGTTTATTTAAAAACTATATTAAATCCATTCTATCGTTTTTACCAATTTTTGTCTCCGCGGTTATTTAATTTGATCATAATAAAAGACAGTCAGGAAATTTAGAACCGCTCTCTGAAACCAACTGTCTTTATTATTTATTTTAACTTTCCAAATCATGATTATTATTATTTTTACTTTCCAAATCTTAGTGATCCTCAAGCTTTTCTAAAGGAACTCGCCTGCTTTAGAATATTTGGAACACACTTCGTCGTAAATATGTTGGCGTAGTTCAAGAACTGGACAATGCCGTGCGAAACATCACTGAAACTCTCTCTAATGTTGGAGTGCTAAACAACACAATAATCATTTTCAGTACTGACAACGGAGGAGCTCCGAATGGATTTGAAAACAATATGGGAAGCAACTTTCCTCTCAGATCCGGCAAAGGGTACTACTTTGAGGGTGGTATCCGGGGTTCCGCGTTCGTTTTTGGTCCCATGTTCAAAAATCGGGCCGGAAACGTTTCGACTGATTTAATGCACGTCACTGATTGGCTGCCGACTCTGTACGAGGCAGCTGGGGGTTCGGTTAGTGATCTCGGAGACGTTGATGGTCACAGTATGTGGTCGGTGCTGACAGGTGTGAACAAAACGTGTCCTCGCACGGAAGTGTTGGTTAACATCAACCCTATCAAAAACTCAAAAGCAATCAGAGTTGGAAAGTACAAATACTTGCTTAACCCGTACGACGTGATGGACGCAGAGTAAGTGAAACATGAAATCTAAATTAGTTTTAAAATATTTCAATTGAATCTAGTGTAGTTATATTTGAAACTTAGTTTCCCCAAATCAATATATCAACAAAATCATCACATAGACTGGTTCAAAAATAGATATCTAAAGACTTAAGATGTTGAAACTCGATAAAAGCAGATTTTTGGTAACAAAGTTTGGTCTTTTCAGATTTTTGTACAAAAAAAACTCCTGAAAAGACCAAAAATCTCCTAAAGACTCCTAAAACTAAACACTCGACGCCATCAGACCAACAAATACTTGTCCTGACTTTTTGTTGCATTATCCACACTAAAATTTATCCGTTCATAATCAAATAAATGGCAATTTTATGTTCGAAGACAAAATTATTAGCTTATATGATCGCACAAATACATTTAAATACTTTTTGTGTCAAATATATTGGAGCCAGGGGTTGGTGGAGCGCGCCGAAAAAACGCAATTTTTGGCCCGTTTTTTCAAAATTCTGCCTGCAGCGCACACATTTTGGCCAAAACAGGGTCTTTGTAGTGCTTTAAGAGAGCTCAGAAAATCAATTTGGTTGACGAAAAGGTCGACAAAATTTTAAGATTTTTTTTTTGAAATTCCGCCCCCCCCCCTCTCGATAAAATCCTAGATCCACCCCTGATTGGAGCTAATGTATATATTTTCTTTATTTAATAACAAGAAAATATGTTTTTCCCCTTAAAATAGCGAAACAATCTTTTCTTTTTTTTTCTCCAAATAATCCAAAAAAGTTATCTAATTTTCTCCCATATGTTCGCCTAAAAACAATGACTCTGAGTAAGCATGGTTTTCTACTTTGAAAAAAAACACAATTCACTGTTTTAATAAAATTTTGCAAAATTTTAGCGAGTTCCTTTAAAGTACTAAACTGTTATTGAATTTCTCTTTTTCAGTATCTTTCAGTATAAACTCATCCTTCAGTTCATTGCCTTATGAACTGAAGGATGAATTTATACTGAAAGATACTGAAAAAGAGAAATTCAATAACAGTTTAGTACTTTAAAGGAACTCGCTAAAATTTTGCAAAGTTTTGGTCCCAATTTTCACTTATGTTGTTCTTGTTTTCAGATTGAACTTTTTGATGAGGCCACATTTTAACGCCTTAGATTGTTTTAAAGATTAAAATTGTTAAATTTCTCAAAATTTTAGGCAACAAATAAAGTTTTTACAAATGATTTTAAATCAGATCATGGTCGCTATGCTCTTATATAGTTACTCTTGTTAGTTGTTATTGTCTTAGGTTGTTTTATGACTGATGATCATCAGAAATTCTTAAAACATGTCTTACAAAAACAGAATTTTTTATTGATGATTTTTACTGAGTTCATGGTCGTAATAATCCTTTTTTTATTGCTCTTGTTTTCAGATTCGATTGCTTTTTTATGCCTCAATTTAGTGCCTGAAATTGAAAAACATCCATCAATTTTTAAAATTGAGTTTATTATCTGTTTTTTTTTGCTAGGTTAGAGGAGAGAAAGACCAACTGTTTTCTAAGTTAATTTATTTCTTCTCTGGCTGACACTATAGATAGTTTTAGTTTAACAGTTTATCATAAGTTTTAGTAATGGATCATGCTTGATTAGTTCTAAATACTTTACAGTGATTTTTATCAAGGAGTATTGTGGATATAAAATACTTGTTTTAAACTGATTTCACTAGTAAGCTTTGATTATCTTTGATTATCTGTTGATTATCTAATAGAACCAATAGCCAATTGTCACTCAAACAAGGTTTTATTTGATTCAGTAGGGTCTTAATAGTGTTCTGGGATCTCTCGGAAAATCAATTTGGTCGACCTAAAAAGGAAAAAATTTGCATTGTTTCAGATCCAACCATTTGAATCAATTCTTGTGGTGATTTTTTTCTGATATTGATAATTTCATTTTCCATTGTAAAACTTGCAAAACGGTTTTATAATTTCTTGGTCAATGATGAAAGGTTTGAAATTTTGCCTCTAATTCAACGGCTAATTCAATTTAAACGTATTTTAAAAAATTTAGATTTGATCACTGGTTCAGAGCTCCCGGCGAGTTACCTGACACATTTGACGTCGTCGAGCCAAACAACACTCCAGCTCAAATCTGGTGCGGAAAAATACCTGCAAACGTCGACACCAAATGCCACTCTGAAAGCACTGGACAAGATGAATGTATATTCGACATTGAAAATGACCCATGCGAATACTACAACTTAGTCGACAATCCGGACTACAAGAGTGTGAAAGCAATGCTTCTGGATCGACTAGACTATTGGGACTACAAAAGTGTCCAGCCACTAGTTCCGCCGTATGACCCGGAAGGCTCACCGGCGAAATTAGGTTTTGTGTTTAAACCATGGACAGACAATGCCACGATTCCAAACAATCGAAATGATATAGAGATTCCAGTTGAATCTTATCCGAATGAAGTGAAGTAACAGAACAATTGGGGTCAATAACTTGGTGCCATTGAGTTTACTGTATATTCAAAACAAATAACGTTCAGTGGAAAAAATGAATTTTGATCAAGTCGCTTTTATTATATTTATTAATGGATTTAATATGTATATCTACATTGCACAAAAATATAACAATGATAGCCAGTTTTTGTGCCAGTAGCACAGAATGTTCCGACGATAATCTTTAAAAAACGAACATTTTTTTCAAAGTAGTGTCGTTTTTTCTGTGTGGTGTGATAAAAATATCTGAACAAAAAAATATCGAATAGGCCAATTGGATAACATATTTTTAAAAAAAATGGCTGGAAAAACTACGAAAAAAAGATTTTTGATTCCCAACTTGCCTGAAAAAATTTAAGTTATCATGGCTTAATATAGGCTGAAACAAGCTATTGTAAGCCTGCACGATCACCTTATTGGCTCAACGTAAAAAATAATGTCTTAATATATTGTTTTGGGAGACCTCAGAAAAGGAACTGGTCAACCAAAACAGTAGTCGACAAAATTTTTGAAAACTTGTCAAAAAACGATTTCAAATCTCCGTCGAGAATTCTAGATCAACAAATTGTAGGATTGCAAATTCTACGCGGACAAAAACTATTGTCTTAATTGCTTACAGAGACAAATTTCTCAATTACCAAAAAGGTGTTCCAAAAATTATTTCCTCTATTCCTCAGATCAGAAAATGATTATTTTAATTTTACTAAGACTGCAAATTTTGTTTTGAAAAAAGACTAGTTTTTGAAAATTAGTCTCTCTCCAATATTGAACAAGGATAGGTGGCTACTGTGCAAGTAGCACGGAATGTTCCGACGATAGTCTCAAAAAAAGTTTTTCCAATTTATTGTCGCTTTTTTTCGGTTCGATATGCTAAAACGAGCTGAACAAAAAAACTGGGCTTAATGATGCATTATTTATACTAAACCAAACAAATTGAAACTTGTTTTGTGGAAAAATTACTAGAAAACGAAAAGAAAAATTTAAAAAAATTGAAAATTTTCAACTTTTTTTAATTTTTGATTCAAAAATGGCGATAAAATACTCAAAGTAAACTAACGATACCCAAGTAGAACTAAGTTTTTTATCTTTTAGTTTAAGCTATTAAAAGCTTTTAATCAATTGAATTAAGACTGCTGGCTCGTTTTATTTGCTCGAAATAATACGAAAAATTACAAATCAAAAGGTACTAAAGAAAAAAGATATTTGAACTGAAAAATCAAATAAAAATTTGTCGCAAATTTTGTTACAAGGAAAAAGGAATAAAGAACAGGAGGAAATTTTATCATTTTAAGGGATAAGATCGACCGCCGTCTTATGCCTACTAGCAAAATGACGAGCTTGAAATCATGAAATCATCAGTGCTTCGTTTTTCTCACATAGCAACAAGTTACATTTAGAAAAAAATTCAAAAAATTGAGTTTCAAAATTTTTCTTTTTTGACTTCGAAAACTAGTTAATCGAGGTTAAAATAAAATTAGGACGAATTTAAACTAAAGATCACCCTAGCAACCAGCAAAAGGGAGTGCACCACCAGCCTGAGAATCCAAGAGGACTCTTCACAACTCCCTAGCAGAAGGGACATGTACAGGTTTTCACAAATCCAACTTGAGTGATCAGCATCAATCGTAGGAAAAAGATAACTAAAAATGTAACTTAAGAGTGTAAATACCCCACAATAGCTATACATAGTTGTTCAATTTATTTTATTGAAAGTTGTAAAGTTTAAAGTCCAACTAAACATCCTAATATATTTTATACTCCTTTTCCAATTATTGTTTTTACAATAAATGTTTTCAAGAAATTTGACAATCTCAAGTGGGACAAATAAATTTAGGATAGATTACTAAGCAATTAACCAGCAGTTTGCGCTAGGTAAAACATTTCTGCTACAAAAGTTTCTGGTGTTTCAAAAAGACTTGAAAAATCAATTTGAATATAAAAAGTTGAGAAGTTTTTTGAGCCTTTTTTTTTAAACTTGACCCATGCCTTGCCAAAATTATAATAATTCTACTGTTAAAATTGATATCTATTTCCGCTTGAATCATCGGAAACAAATTGCATTAGTTCGTTGTTTAGAGGTTTCAGTTTCATTACAATTGGTTTGTTCTGTATTCATGAAAAAGTAGTCAAAATTTTAAAGTTTAGGAACGATTCTGGGAGTTAAATGATAAAAACTTAAGAAAAATTGTACAGCCTTGAGCTGTTAAACCAAATTCAACAGAGTGTATATTTTAACAAATGATTATCATTACGAGGCCAAACTGTGCACTGGATAGGAGCACAATTTTGTGTCTGTATGTTCCTGGATTCCAGAGACACGTCTTTAAACATGTTTAAATTTTGTCGGAACGATCAAAGAAAATGAAAGAACAAAAAAAGAACAAAGGGAGCGTCCATGTCGCGGAATCCGCTTACAATGCACAAAATGCACAATTTGGCCTCCTAATGATTTTTTTTTTTCAGTTTGTACGATTATTGTTTGTACCCTGAACAGTTTGTACCCTGAACAAAAGAAGAACAAAGGGAGTGTCCATGTCGCGGAATCCACTTACAATGCACAAAATGCACAGTTTGGCCTCCTAATGATTTTTTTTTCAGTTTGTACGATTATTCTCTTACGCATTTCTGAATATGCATTTCGATTTTACATCACCCTGCTAATCGTATTTGGGCTATAATTGAGCATCAAGTTTGCATATAGAAATGTCATTGGTGCAAAAAACGAACGCATGGAAATGAAAAATGAAATACAAAACAAAGGAAAGAAAATGATAAATTTCTTGACATTTTTTTGGTTAATTATTTTACTTTTTTTTTGAGAAGTTTTTGCATTCTTCTTATTTTAACAGTGAGTCCATTTTAAATGCATGTTTGAAGCCTAAATGTTGTTTTTGCATTCCCAAAACATCCTTAAGGAGATTCAAAAAACTCATGATTAAATTAAAAAAATATGGGGAGCAGTAGGAGAATAGTCAATACCAATCGCACAAACCACATTCTGCGAAATCAAATACCCGACTTTGGGTCGAAAGCAGACACTAACACACACACAAACACCAAAAACCCAAAACGACACTCTAGTATGACTTGAATTTTTGTTTCGACTTTCGTAACGAAAGTAATGGAATATTTGTGCTCGGGGTGTTTTTTTTCTTCAGTAAAAATTCGAATGTTTAACTAGTCATTTTCGACGAGATTTTTTTATCATTCAGAAAGTATTGTTGTCTTGAGCTTAATTTTGGAAAAATATTTCACCTGCGATCCTTTTTGTAATTTTATGTGGGTTTATAGATTGTCAATTTGGCCAAATCGGGGGAATTTTTGCGTAATATATCTCGCGCTATTAATGCGTACGCGCAGATTTAATCCGTCCTAGAACTCTTTCCAAATAAGTTAAACGAAGCTTGTTTGCCATATTTGATTTGTTACAAGAGCGAAATTATACATTCAATGAATATGGCGTGAGGGTGATGATTTTCACGAAAAAGCTCAAATAAAAAAAATCATTTTTTTTTTTTTTTTACATTTAATTTTTTCATGTTTTTACTGCTCCGTAGACCTTAAAAGAATTGAAATCATAGAACTTCAGTTATTGGGCAAAATTTCCTATATTTTTCTCAACGCTCAATGTTAGGAAGAGGAGTAGAAAAGAGGAACTGCATATCAACTTCACATTCAACCAACAAGGTAAAAAGGGTGATTGAATACGTTCAATCCATAGGTTTAACGCTAGAAAAAAAGCAGAACTGGATCTCATAATATGATGAGTGGGAAAGAGCTTTTTTTGTTAAACAAAATTAAAAAGATTCAATTTTTTTCAAACTGGCAAACATACGTAAATAGAAAAAGAGCTAATGAAGTCGGCTCTAATAGTAATCAACTATATGCGTAAGTAACGACCATTAAAAAAGCATTGGCAAAAGAGCTTGAACTTTTTTAGCCTATTTTGCAAAGTCGTTTTCTTCAACTGTTTTATCAGAAAATTTCTGACCATAGCAAATCGTACTGTGATAGATCTCAATTTGAACTCTCTTCTTAACTTGGGCACTGACAGTATTGCGCTTTGCTAATTTCAAAATCCATTAATCTTTCAGTATTTTAAATACTTTTACTTGTAACAGAAGAACGAACAATTTATCTCAACATTACGAGGCCAAACTGTGCACTGGATAGACGCACAATTTTGCGTAGTTATGTTCCTGGACTCCACAGACAAGTCTTTAAACATGTGAAAATTTTGACGGAACGATCAAAGTATAAATGAAAGAACAAAATGAGAAAAAGGGAGCGCCATTTGTTGCGGAATCCACTTACAATTCACAAAAATGTACAGTTTGGACTCGTAATGAACAGTCAAAAAACTATGGGTCAAATGTGAAGGTAATGGCTTCATTTCGACAGAACCACCCTCTGGACAACCAAGTTTTGTGGAAAGATTGGAGCGATCTTACTCAATTACGGATCATAGTCAAGGAAAAAACCCTTTCAGAATATACTCGATAAAACGATACCACCCTCAACCAACGGCAACAAAAATCAAAAAATTGTTAACTCCAATGCCCAATAACGGGAAAAAACTAAAGTGGAGCAAAACAATCAAAAGAAAATTTGGCGAAGAAGAAACAACATCTACAAATCAAAACTCAAAAAATTCGACAAACTGACTTTGGAAGAAGCGGACAAAACTATTTAATCTATGCCTAGCCGTTGGAAAAAATGTAACAGGTTTTTTGGACAGAAATTGAAGAAAAAAGCGTTCGACCAAGGTAAAAATAACTTTCAGCAATGAAAAGAATAAAATTCAGCCAGGTAAAATCAACTTCCGGACAAGCTAAAAAAAAATTTCAGCTAACTTAAGACCCTTAAAATTGTTTAAAAGATTTGTTTTATCTTTTTTTTTCGAAAAAAAAACAATCATACAAACGCCTGACAAAAATAATGAATAATCAAATCAATCATGATCTTAAACCGGATAAAAA